AATGTTGTGTGTTTCCTCAGTGCTATACTGCACCCTGGCTGGCCCATCCCTTCCTTATAACCCTTCTGTGAGGGGATGTCCACTAAGACCTCTTCAAAATTCGTAATTCTCTGCTTTGTAAATTTATTCTTATAGGAATAAACAATAGAGTCCACTAATTCTTTAAAAATGGGAGACATTGTTTTTATCTTGTCAATAGCTCCAATGAAAACATGCAAACAGAACAGTGCTCTCCTCAGGAAGGGGATGTAATAGGAATATATATCAGGAGGGGTTGTACTCAGTTATTTTCAAAAGAAGAAAGGTTGAGACATAAAAGACAATGTCTGATAAATACATCCTCAAAAATTTCCCATTCTCTCATTCTTGACACTGATTATCTCTCAGAGGTGTTTCCTGCATCCACATACACAGAAGGTGACTCTGAAATTTTACAGACAAGTTTTGTGTGTGTGTGGTATTTGTTTTTGGCACAGCATTTATAGCAAGTCAGAAGTTTGCTATAATAAAAAGACTGGAACAAAGTGTGCAATTGTGCAAAAAAACAAATGAGATTTTATTTTTTACTCCAGAAAATCCATTTACTGCCATCATGTTGATTACAATTCATAGACATCCTATAGGACAGATTATAAATGCTCTTTAGAAACCCCATCATTTTTCTCCAGAGTAGCTTGAGAAAATGTTTGAAACGTTAATCTTATAGTAGCAGCTCAATGTTTAATCCACAGGACCACCAAGGTTTTTCTTTTCTTTTTTTTAAATTATTTTATTGGTTGCTCATACAATTCTTAGCACAATCCATACTTACATCCATTGTGCCAAGCACATATGTACATTCACTGCCCTCATCATTCTAACAACATTTGCCTTCTACTCTAGCCCGATACCAGCTGCCCATTTTTCCCCTCCCTTCCCCCTCTCCCTCCCTCATGATCCCTCTATAATTCACAAATCATTATTGTTTTGTCATAAGATACACTGTCCGACGTCTCCCCCGCCCTCTTCTCTGCTGTCCATCCCTCAGGGAGGAGGCTATACGTAGATTCTTGTAATCGGTTCCCCCTTTCTACCCCACATTCCCTCCACCCTCCAGACATTGCCACTCTCACCACTGGTCCTGGATTCCCTGTGTTTCCAGGTGATGTCTGTACCAATAT